GAGGGAGAGAGAGAGAGAGAGGGAGGGAGAGAGAGAGAGAGAGGGAGGGAGAGAGAGAATACTTCTTTAAACCTTACAAATGTTACAATTAGTCATAAGCAGAAAATGTACACAGTACATGTATAGTTAGATAATGTATGGTACCTGTCAGAAAATTCTGGAAGGCAGCTTCTACATTGGTGGAATCAAGTGCAGAAGTTTCAATAAATGACAAACTATGTTGCTCTGAGAAAAAGATAACATAAACATTATAAAACTGATTTTTCAGCAGTATAACAGTGGTATGGGTCTTACTATACAGTATCTTAATCTACTCCCGCAGTCTACAGTTAGGATTACAGTATAGTGAGTGGGTGCATCAAAGGCACCGCCCATGCTGTATATCTTATACAGCACACTTCTGGTTCATACAGCACAGTTTGTGGTCCATACAGCACAGTTTCTGATTTCCTGCTGTATAAACTGTGACTATACCTCGCCCTAAGAGCCTGGAGCCACATGAGGTAGAAGACTCTGCAAGCAGATAGTCCAGTTACTGCAGTCTCTTTTCAGTCTCTTTAGGCTATTCTTCACTTGGCCTTGGGCTGGTGCCTTTGATGCACCCACGCACTATGACCATAAACTAGTAAAAGCACAATTTCCCCTGTGCTGTACTGGAAATACAGCACTCAAGGTGTGGCTTCAAAAGCCAAACAGCACTCGGCTTCGCCTCGTACTGTATCTCTTTCTCGACCACACCTCTCGTGCTGTATTTCCTGTACAGTACGGGGAACCATGCTTTAACTAATACATATACCATACAGGTAGTAAATTTCACAAGTATGAAATTTCTTGCTTAAGTGAAAAGGTCTTGTTTCTTTAATTTTGAGAGGGTTAAAAAAAGAATCATACAAAAAATTACTAATTATACTAGCCAGCATAAATAGCAATTTTGTATGTGGTGTGGTGTGTGGGGGGATATATGTACAATCTGATTTTGAACCAAGTTAATTTAATGTACCTGCAAATTTCTTAGCTTCTTCAGTAGAGACTGCTCTAAGATGCCTCAGGTCATACTTATTGCCGGCCAGCATAATGACAATGCTAGTATCAGCATGGTCCATTAGTTCCTTCCGCCATCGCTCCAGGTTCTTGTAAGTCATGTATTTAGTAATGTCATATACTAACAGAGCACCAGCAGCACCTCTGTAATAACTGAGAGGGATGAAGAGGGAGAGATTAAATATTATGACATTTAGTTGAAGAGAGGACATTACAACTAACTCTTGTTGATAGTCAGACATCAGAGTGTTGACCACAGTCGGTTACTAACTCCTAGTCTGCCTACCTGCCTAGACTTTGTTATGGCTACTTTCCTCAGTTGCTTTGTCCACAACTCAGAAACACCAAATTATCATACCATGCAACAATATAAAGAAGCTTTTACAGTTACTGTGCTAGCATGAAAGCCATGGTGAACAGCAGGCTAGGCAGTCCAGCCTTGAGAACTGAAACTGGGGGTTAAAACATTTTAATAGCAGCCAAACTCTCACCACCATGGCACTGATTTTTAGTGACTTAGACCATACATGTGTGCTGTAGATAATTATTTATTGGGGTGAGTCAAAGCGAGCCCCACTGAGGCGAGGAGCGTCTGTTTGTTTGTTTGTATGGGGATAGGGTTGTCAAACTATTATTAAAAAAAAAAGTTAAATAGTATGATTTTCTTAACTCAAAGTGGGTGTTAGACTGTTAGAGGTAGGCGAAACCAGAAATTTTGAATCGATGCCGATACCAAGTAGTCCGAGTATCAGTATCAATGGTATTGAGTAGTGAATGAGTAGTAAGCTACTGCGCATGTGCAAATAAGTTATAATTAGTTATTAATAAAGAGTAAGAGCCATTTTTGTAATTATTGAAGGGTGTGGTCAAAATTATAACGTCAAATCATAGATATTAGAGATATTAAGCCAATGTTGATTTCTTGTTATTTTAATGATATTTCAATACTTCAATGTTTGCGTGACATGACTGTAATGAAAAAAATACTGATACCATTGTTATTTTGCAAATATACAGTGATTTTGTTCAAATTTGTGTTAGTTGCAAATTTGAAAAACTTTATGTACCGGTTGCACTATCACACGGGCAAAAATAGACTAACAAGATCATTGAAGATGTTGCCACAATCATTGTGCATGGAACTGTCATAGTTTCATTTACTGATTCACTATGTTAGAGGAGTAATAACTGAAATACTGTTCTTGTGAACAGTCCACTGTTGTACCTGTTACAGTTTTTACACAGCAAGCAAAGGGTTCTCCTATTGGATGAGGATAGTTTGATATTGTGTGCATGGAATTAAGGGGTTAGCATTTAAAAATTCATGCAAAGCATTTGACTATAATACTGCTTAAAAACCAAAATTTCATTAATTCCGCATGAAAAGCAAGCCACATGGTCAAATTTATTCTATTTAACGTCCAATCCAATCACGGACGTTGTCCGCCAGGGGAATCCTAGTTTCCTATCCTGGTTACGTAGTCTATAAAATCTATGGTCAAATGAGGTGTGGTGGGGCGTGGTTACTCTATACTAGGATTTGGTATCGAGTACTTGGTATCGGATATATGAGTACTTTGGTATAGTATCGCCCATCCCTAGCGGGTGTGGTCACAATGAAATAAAATGGCAGCTATCAGCAAGTCTGACTGAGCTTATTTGCAGCAAGCAGTGGCGGATCTGGGCCCGGGCCTAGACGGGCCATGGCCTGGGCATCAGAAGTCAGCAATGAGATTCATTAGATGCAATGTAAACAATTCCCTGCCTCAAGTTTTGATAAAAAGCAACCACAAGCCACACTAGAGTACTTACAAGTGCTTGAAGAGCATTCTAAGCACTGCATAGATGAGGAAATTGTTGAAACCCATCATAAAAATGGCCAAAAGATGCATAACCATAAAATAACTGGTTGAAAAGTGGACACACCCACTTCCTGGCCCTACCATTAACTTGCACCCAGATCCGCCACTGGCAGCAAGCGGTAAACAAGTTGGACTAAACTGCTGTCCAAAGACTTCTCTGCAGCAAGGAACGTTGGAAAAGCAGATATACAATTTTCTTTCTTACTAGAAAGGACTCTGATGAGATGAATGCAATGAGGAGTTGCCAGCTTGCAGGCTGGGGAATGGTCTGGCCAGCGAGACAAACTGCAACTTATTCTGAGCAGCAAGAAAGGCTATCTTCTTCATAAAAAATAGTTTGTTCAGTGACTGCTTCTAACTATC